CGCTGAGGGCATGATCCAGAAGGTTCTATGTCCATTCCTGGCTCCTCCCTTGACTGCTTCCTGTGTGCCAAGCCATGAGCAGCTCTCCCCCTCTGCCATACCACCCTCACTTAGAGCCAGTCAACTATAGACTGAAACATGACCCAAAACACACCTCTTCTCTTTTTAGTTGTGGGTGTTGGGTATTGTGTCCCGGGGATGAGAAAAGTGACTAAGATAGAGTTCTACCATCTTGATATTATCCAGGGCCCAGGTCCATTTTTCCCTATTGCTGAATCATCAGTCTATACATATTCTTTAAGTGATTCTTTTATTGTTGTATTACTAGAACCTATCCTAACATCCAGCACACGGAAGGCCCTCAACAAACAGCAATGCAGTGAATGAGCAAAATGAATGGTTCTACATAAAGAGAAAAATGTGATCACAGAATCTCTCTGCACACAAGTAGCCCTGTATTCTACATACCAGGGACTCTGGCAGTCTTCTTAAGCCTCTGTACTCCTTCTCAAAAATATACTAGCACAGAAGGAACTAGTTATACTGAAATATCCTTACAAACATATGAAAAAAATCCTGACATCACTACAAGCAGGCTGAGCTAGTCTGGTCATAGGCTGCTCGGTAGGGAGATCTGTCTGGGCCGGTTCACTCACGAAACCGGGAGACGACAGCATCTATTGAGTTTGGTTCCTGGTTTCTCAGACAGGAATCCTCTGCAGTCCTGTCAGGTACATCACTGCGCTCAGATTGAGGGGGTGGAAGGAGGTCACAGAAGTTGTCTAGTTCTGTGTCACTTTTCACTTTCCCTGCTCTTCCCCATCTGGTGTCCTCATCCACAGCTGTGCCCTTTGTCCCTGAACCCAAAGCCCATCCAGTTGACCTTTACAGACTTCTCTGAGGGTGAGAAGGCACAGCTGCCTAAGGGAATAAAGAGTGGCAGAGACGGCATCTGCATACTACCTCTTTCTCATGTGGACTTCCAACCAATCTTCTGGCGCTGCATTACCTCCACTTGTACTTTGAGGAATATCTGGTACCTCTGACTCCTAAGCCTTTCTGGACAGGGACTTAAAGCAACAGCTTTTAGCTCTCTCACCTTACTGGTTTAGGATCCAGCTGTTTTCTGGATGTCACATAGCTCACTGTGATGCCCTCTGCTACCCAAAATGTGGTTGTTACTGTCTTGTTTCCCTTTTGAGTATATGCCCATTTCACCCTTTTATTTTATGCTGTGGAGTTTAGTGAGGAAGCAAAAGTAAACACATAAATCTGCTACATTTTATGGAAGTTGCCACTAAAATTTTTATGAAGTAGCTTGGAAGTAAATTTCTCAAAATTCATGTAATTATTTATTTTCTGTCAAACACAACCAATTTATTGTTATAATCCCAGCTTCACCATGGTGGAGATCATTTCTATTTTATGTATCATTGCATTATCTAATAGAATATAGGTAGGTGATCAAAAATATTTACTGAATAAATGAACTGAACAAATATAGACATGATAAAAATGAGGATCTTTACTTTTTATAATTTTACTACTTATCTTACTCACTTAGGATTGCTTTGGCAATACTCCCAAAGGTAACCAGAAGTACATGTACAAATTGATTGTCCTTTATCCAAAATGGATAATTCACAAGTATTTAAGGTTTCTGCCTTTTTCAGATTTTGGGATATATGCACAAAAAAGAATAGCCTGAGGATGGGACTCAAGTCTAAATGGGAAATTTGTTTATGTTTTATATACACTTTATGCACATAGCCTGAATGCAATCTTATAAATGTTTCATATAACTGTGTGCATGAACCTAAATTTACTTCTAATGAACCATCAGAAAGCAAAGCTGTCACTCTCTCAGCCACCCACATGGGCAGCCTGTGGCTGTTTGGCATCACATCATTCCTACTAAAAATTTATATGCAACCAATAAACAATCATTTTCTTATATTTACTTACATACAGTATTTAACCTTAAAAAATATGACTCAACATTACTGCTGCAAAAAGTCCGGAGTTCATGGTAACTAGGCAGCACTAAGGCATCAGCAGAACCTCGTGTCAGCTGCTAAACAGCAGCAACAATAAACAGCGGCTACTTCAGCTGCCACTGGAAATGCTGTGTCTTGGTTTAAAGGTTCCTGAACACTGCATTTTATTTCTCAGTGAGATGATACATCAGAAGCAGTTGAGGGGCCAGGGAACTGGTCCTCTGAATTAAGGGATTCAGGGATTAAGAGATGCTCTGAATGTGCCCTCTAGAATTACCTGCCTTCGTAATAATAGCCCTTGTCTTAGAAGTCTTTGATTTACGCTGACACGACTTCTTGTTCTGTTGTGAATACACTCTGCTCAAGTCCATCATAACCCTATCATATTTTCACCATGCTATTTATAGGCACTTCTTCAGTTTAACAGTGACATTTTCATCATCATTATTATCATGGTCACCTGATTCAGGCCTTTTCAACTATTTCACCATCGGTCAATGAATAAGTAGAGTCTCATCATCAATGTTGAAAACTTCCTTGCTATCTACTTCTTCCCATTTACTGGCAGGTTGTAAAGATGTATTTTTTGCTTAGGTAAGGATGCTAGAGATAATTTCCTTCTCACTTGACATACAGAATCCTCAAAGTCATCACCTTGTTCACCGACATCACCAAACAGCCACAGGTCACAGGTTGTTCCAGGAGGTGTACACCTATGTCTTTAGTGCTAAGCATTGGCAACAGCATACGTCATGCTAAATTCCTGTTGAAAACCTTTCACAACCGAGCCACTGTTCAATGCTGCTGGCATGCGGTTCAAGAAAGTGTTTTTATATTTATCTTCAGCGATCTAAGGATTCTTTGATTACATGGCTGAATTAACAGTCACATTTGGGAAAGTACATGGCATAAATGTTATTTTTGAGAACTTCACCTGGAGCATAAGCATAACAGCTCCTGAGGAAAAACAAAACACTGCAGTCTTCATCCAGTGCAGTTTCCATGCAAAAGCATGAGCTGTTGCTACAAAATCTGAAACTAATTTGGAAAGAGGCCCCTGGTGATCTATGCCTTTTTTTTAGCATAATAACAGACTGATAAGAAATCCATTCCTTTAAAACACTAGGGACACAAGCTTTCACTTATCACACCAAGTTTACACTGTGTGAGTCTGTTGCAGTAGTGCATCCCAGCATAATTATTTTGTCTTTGGCAACCTTAATTCCTTGGTGGGGCTGTCTTATCAGCTAGAGCCAACATTTTCCTAGGTGATGACGCATGATCAGTGACACTTCATCAGTGTCACAGACTTGTTCTGGTGTCATATTTTCCTCAGTGATGACATTGATAAACTCGCCAAAGGATTTCTTCCCTGCTTTATTTTAGTAGATGCTTTATCACCACAGATCTTTAAAAATTTAATGTTGCACCTTTTCTTAAATTTCTGCAACTAGCCTGTTGAACATTCAATTACCTTCTATTTTTAGTTCAATAGATCTTTGCTTCATGATTAGCATCTCATGAAATGGCATGTGTTCACTGTGACCTCATGGATCTACTCTTTTGATACACAATTGAGATCTTCGTTTTTCTATCTTTCATTAGCTTCTGTTCATCATTTTCAGCATAGAACTTCAACAGTTTACCCTTCTGTTTGTTCAGGTCATCTATGATGGTCACTCCAAAGCCATTTTCTTCTGTAAGACATTTCACACTTACTCTGGTGTCCAGTTTCTCCAACAGCTTGACTTTTTGTGCTAGAGATAATCTTAACTGTTTTTGCTTTTTCTTGTCACTCTTACCCATAAGAGTATCTGCAGGACCTTTTAACATTTTCAAAAGTATCTTTAGAACAAGGAACAGAGAATAAGCAAAACTACACAAAATAGTGTACACAGTGAAGAAAGCTTAGAGGCCTTGGCTGGCCCTGAGTGGAGTGTTTTGGAGGACCTGCCCTTGGCACATGGGGCCTAATATGTGTCATTTTATTAACTTCTGTGGGTGGTGGGCTTGTTGTGGGAATTTGGGTGTGTGTGAAAAATATATATCTAGGTGAAGGGGTCTAAGGAGGGGATCTTATCTCTTGAGGATATTAAATATACTGTGTTGTATGAGTGTATTTACTGTGATCTGTAAAATTTTCATTTTGAGCATTATATCAATGCTCAAACTGTTTTGGGTTTTGGATTTTTAGATTAGCGATGCTCAATCAGAACCTAATTTGGAACTCATGAATGATGTGTTATACAACAAAGGCCTGCATCACAAAAATTTTACTATGATTCTGTGTTTACACCAGAAATTTCCTGGATAAAAACCAAAACTGATATTCAAATTCACTTGTTTTAGTTATAAAATATAACTTTTATTATGATTGCTACATAAATATTTAATTACAGTCAATAGATGTACAATTTTAAATGTAATTAATGCATTTGTAATATTAACAAATTATACTTAATACTGAAAATATAAAGCCTTCTATATATAAAACCTGCACTTTAGCTACTATATTTTAGTTCAAGTATAAAACCCAGCAAGATTATTGAAGAATTAGTAGATCCTTGTCATTCCTATGAAGTGAATTCAAAGGACCATCATAGCATGTCCCTTAGTAACTATAATGTAAATGATACGTGCTTTGTTTTGTGAGTTTTTATTGGCCACCATCTAAACCATAAGACTGCCAAAGGGCTTAAACCATTATTTAATTTTTAGTTATACTTTATATATTTTATGGGGTCACTTGAGAACATAGTCGTTTTGTTGCTAAACTGGAGAATTCTGATGTATCTATGAAAGATTTGCTGCAATTTTAACAGGATGATTCCATGGTAATAATAATCTTTGCATTTACTCATGTCAAAATGTTCCTTTGAACAAATTTGCACAAAAGTCCATAATCCATATGGTACTGCCTTGTTAAATGGTTATTTTATGGCTAATTTTCACCCTTGTTTACATTCTGCTATTACTAACTTCAAATTAAAATATAATACTCACTTCATCAGCCACAAACTCCTTACTCAGACCAAAATCTGTCAGCACCACATGGCCATTAGAATCAAGTAGAATATTCTCAAGCTTAATGTCACGGTATATAATTCCCAACTGTAAAAACAAACAAATATGCATTTTAAAATAGTTTAAAAATAAAATTGGACAGTCTTTCTTATCTACTTCTTTTCTTTTTTGAAGGCATTTCTTTCCACAGGATTTTATGCAACTGTTGGGACAAATGCAAATCTCTCTCTCTCTTCTCTCTCTCTCTCTCTCTCTCTCTCTCTCTCTCTCTCTCTCGGAGGCTCATTTGCTGCATTCCCTGGAACTCTCCAATCAAGTCTTCATTTTCTTTGTACCAAATGGTCTACCCTTGCTGGACCAGCTCTTTAGGCCACCCCACTGCCCGCTTTGGCTAATGCTTTTTTTCTGCTGCTCTGCTTATTTCACACTCATTCCAGATGATCTTCAGGTGCCTTCTTAGCCAATTGTCATCTGTGACTTCCTAATGGCTTCAGAAAACTTTTCTAACTAACCAGGTTCCATTCTGGTCATTTCCTGTTTTTCATCTTATAGCATCTATGCTTATACTGTACTTACCTACAAATGACTAATATTCTCTACTCATACACTAATTCTGTTTCTCACTTTTTAAACCTTTATCCAGTACCTAGCACAGTGCCATGTGTCAAACAGGTGATTAACAAAGGCTTGTTGAATAGCAGACTCTTAAACATAAAAATTAAAGATCACAGATTAATTTATCTTTTATTCTAAATAAGGAAATCAATTCAATTGAATAATATTTATACAGTCATGTGATGCTTAATGTCAGGGATATATACTAAGAGCACGCTCTCAGGTGATTCTGTGATCATGTAAGTATAGCATGTGCTTACACAAACTTGGATGGAATTTCCTACAATACAACTAGGTTATGTGGGGTGTGTGTGCGTATGCCATATATATGGTGTATATAATACATTTAAAAATATATATATATAGTATACCTTGTTGCTCCTAGGGCTATACTGAACAAAACACAAGATAAGTCAAGCACAAGAGAAAATGATAACACAGTAAATGGAGATGTATAAAGCTGCTGGTGGTGTTAACATGGTATTCTGTTTTTAAAAAATAAACATGAGTGTACTCTAAAATGATAGTCAAAAGTATAATAAATACATAAATCAGAAACAGTTGTTTACTATCAAGTATTATTATATGTTATACATTTATATAACTGGCAATGCAGCAGTTATATTTATACCAGCACCATCATAAATATGTGAGTAATATATTGTACTATGATGGCTGACATCTCCAAGTGATAGGAATGTTTCAGTCCCATTAAAATCTTATAAGACCACTGCTGTACATGTGGTCTGTCCAATGTCATACGGCACACAACTGTGTATCTCTTGGCTTTGTCTTGCATGTAAGTTTTATAGGAAAATACTTCAACTATTACTTCAATTATATAAGTAAATCTACTGAAATTATTTACAAAGGGATTGATCTATAAGAGTTTTCTATGTCATGCTTATAGTTATGTTAGCCTGGATCAAATGTTTTTAAACTCAGAAATATTGCTTTCCTCAGCACTAGCCATATGAAAGAGCAGATTTTTAATAATCTCTCAAAGTTGAAATAAAAATTACACAGAGAAAAATACTAACCAATTTCTCTTCATGATTTCAGTGTTTTACAGGAATGACAGGAAGGAAAACATCTTGAGTGTATACTGAACAGACGTTTGATTTACAGCATTATATACATCTAACAACCAGTAATAATTTTACTTCTTAAAGCACTCTTCAGAAAAGATTTTAAGGAACAAATAACTTAGTATATGTTTTACCTACCTCATCACTTCCAAGTAAACTCCCATATTTGCTTCATCCTATGAAACCTAGTGTGAGTATCTATGTTAAGATTATACTGCTGGATTTGTATTATATGTAGTTTTTTAGGGTTACTGAGCAAGTTAGCTGAGATCTAGCTGATTTACTATAACACCTTCAATTCATATCAGTCATAGTTACATCTGGTATTCATTAGGTTCTCTACTTGCATGTTTCTTACTACTGTTTAATAATACTAATATTCAGATTTTCATTGAAATAACAGAATGAACAAAATTAAATGCTTCACATAAATTAAAAAGTGAATTTTCTAATTTATCCATTGAGACTCTATTTTTTGTTTTTACTCTGCTACTTACGATGAACTCTACCATGATTTTTATAATATAACATACTATATCTAATCATAAATTTCAAAGCCAGCCCATTCCCAGCTCCAATTTGTTTCATATATAAAGACATCTTTACTTTATATCCTGCGAAAACACTCATAGGCAAAAGCATGCAGCTGAAAATTCTATCAAAAGAAGTATACACATGTCCCACGACTCCAGTCCCACCAGGGTTTCATGGCTCCCTTCCTTGCCATGGCGATGCAGCTCTTCTTCAGCTGCCTGCTCTCCTGTGCTCCCTGTTCTCATACATTCTCATTCGCTCTTCTTAAGATTCCTGTTCTGAACCCTCTCTCCATCTGAGCAGTCTTGTTTCTGAGTTAGATCCACCCTTTTCTTGACCCTGCCTTTTTTTCTTACACCTCCCCAGAACCTTTTCTCACAGCCTTTTATATCTACTGCCTCTATCTTGCTGTTTGGATCTTCCTGGACCTTCAAAAACTTCTTCCCTCTTCTTGCTTTTTCCCTTTAATTCTCTCCTCTTTTTTTCTGTACTCTATAATCAGCACTTTCAACTCTGTTTATCCTAAGCCAGGGTAGGGCCTGAATACAACACGACAAAGAACGCTTCATATCCTACCAAGATTTCTGTAACAGAGTGACTCAAGTCATGCTGTCTCCTAATGGTCTCACATCCCTTTGGTAAAAAGGACTTTAGTACTTTCTGTCTCTAAGGAAAACACACAAGCTCAGCCTATGTAATAACTATTTGCTTCTACAATAATGCATCTTCATTAAGTTTTAATACTGAAGTCATAATTTCCTTCATCAAGATTAAGACCACCTGTAATAGTATTTTAAAACTTTAAACTGATTTGTACAGTGTTCAAACAGGGCCATGGGCAGGAATTCCATTTAAAGGTTTTAGTAACTGAGCTCATGCTGCATAGAGGCAATGGAGAAGGAAGGCAGGGGTAGGAGCAGAAGAGGGTATCCAGGACAAAATAAATGGAAAAAAACCTAGTGGAAGAGAGTGAAAAATAACTCTTATTCTCTAATATGATCAGGAAACACATCCTGATAACACATCGGCAGAGTCCACAATAAAGTAAGTCACAACTAAGTAAATATGTATTATTACTTATGGCTTCATTTTATAGGTTACCTTAGGAATTAAAAGCTTTCATTCTAATGATACTTTATACTAAGTGAAGCATTGGGTCTTTTCATGACGAAAGCCAAAAAACTGCTCTACAACGCAACTACAGTAAGAAAGGAGATTTTTCAGTTTCACCTGAGAAAACCAGAAGTACTCTAGAAGTGTGCTGTCACAACCTGCAGGGGACAGTGATGTGTGAAAACATTAGCTCGTTTAGCTCCATCAGTACCTCAGTTAAGATTGCCTGAAGGGAAACTCCAGGGACAAAGCTCTTACCTTGTGCAGATGTTCGAGGGCAAGCACAATCTCTCCAACATAGATCTGCACCTCGTGCTCTGTGAAACGCTCTCTTTGAGAAAGATGAGTAAAAAGTTCTCCACCATTTATATAATCTAAAAATGAAATATATTTTTCTTTCTTTGACTTGTATTCATAAACAAAAGGAAGTACCTCCTTTTAATTACTTTGGGTTAACCAGAGACACTGATTTTAATAAATTTTTTGTATAACTTAGAACACAATATAGTTTCATTTAGAATATACTGCTAGATTCATTAATAATATAATTTCATAAGATAACGATTACCTTAAACCCAACCAGTAATTTCAGAGTGTACTGCCATTCAAATTACTATAGAAAATGCACATAGACTTAAATACATTTTCCCAAACATAGTATATATCGGAAACCTCCTCCATCACTGTACAATGGAAGCGTAACTTACTGTGGAGGGCAAAATATCAGTCATTACAACAACCAAAACAGAAAACAAGTAAAATCCCAGCCCGTCAGTCGTGATGGTTGCCAGTCACTGTTTTTAAGACCTATAAGTAGATTTCCTGTTTTCCAGAATTGTCTATGCTCACTTGCCAAACATACCTTAGGTGGCAGGTACCCTTCCTACGCTCCATGCGTCCCAAAGCAAAAGCAGTACAAATGTGGCCATATCAAAGCAGGCCAAACTAGAAGATTCCATTTCCCTTTCACTGTGCTATATTTATTCCAAGGGGAATAAATAATGAGACAGAAGACTAAATGGATACAGCAAAATATAAATGCATGAGCCAGCGAACAAAACTAAACACATCAATAACCAAAAAAAAATTGGGCACATGCCTGTAATTCTAGCTACCTAAGAAACTGAGGCAGAAGGCTCACAAGTCTGAGGCCAGCCTAGGCAACTCAGAGAGATCTTGTCTCAAAATAAAAAAAAAAAGAAAAAGAAAAAGAAAGGGCTGAGGATGTAGCTCCATAGTACAGAATCCCCAAGTTCAGTCCTCAGTACTTAGAGAGGAGAAAAAAAAGACACCAAATATATTGACAATTAGCTTTAATAAGACATTTATTGCAACACTGGTGACTAATTTTTTAGGAAACAACTACAGAGATATTAGAAATTACTCAAAATCCTATAGAGTAATACACATTTTGTGAAAGAATGTTCAGAGACTAACCATTGTTATACTACCATACATTTGTGTGAGATAAATAATTTACATCTAGAAAAGTTACAAATATAGTTTAAAGCTTTTCTCCTGAAAAGAGTACGTTACGGTTTAGTGGTTGAAATCTCAAATGTCCCCCTAAAGTCTCAAGTATTTGGAAAGTGATTGGATCATGGGGGCGCTATAGTCATGAATGGATTTACCCCCTGAAGGTGCTGTGAAGAGGTGGGGCCTGGTCAGAGGTGGGTCACTGGGGGACATGACCTGGAAGGGCGTATTGTTATCCTTGGCTCCTCCCTTTGCTCTGTTTCCAGGCTGGGGGATGGAGCATCTTCTCCTCCAGCATGCCCTCTGCCATCCTGTCTGTCTTGGAGCCAGGTGACCAGGGACTGAAACCATGAGCCAAAACAAACCTCTCCTGTAAGTTGCGGTTGTATTTTGTCCCAGTAAAAGGAAAGAGACTAAAACAGACTAAGGCAGAAAATGCACGTATTCCAAACATATTCACTTGCCAAATTTACTGCAGTTTCATATGAGAGCACAACAAATTATTCATAAACTCACAAATTTTTCTTTTACAATGCCAATTTAACTTGAAATTCCAAAACCCAGATGGAACAGAATTAACAAACTTTAATAGCTAGTTGTTTGCAATGTAATTTGAGAAACAGGATAGCAAAAAGCATTTCCCTTCTCCGGCTTTGGTGTTTTGCTAAGGAGTTTTAATTATATCTGAACACACAGCTAGTTATTAAAAAGTTATTAAAGGAACATAACATTCCTATAAACTAACAATGAATTTTTCTACTTTTAAGTAGTTTCCTTAAACCTAATACTTGTATTTACGAACAAGTGGTTTCCGCAGGTAGTCACAGCACAGAAATAGGCACCCATCTATCAAATGACAAACTCCTTCAAAGACTTCAATGTTCAGTTGTCTCACCTTCCACGGCCACTCCAGCACAGCTAATCACACCTCCATATGCTTATCATTGTACTTACGAGAGATTTCTATCATTACAATTTTCTAGCTGTTCTACAAATGTTTATTTGCATACTTGCTTTTTCTGCTCAACTGAATTTAAGAGTCAGGATCAATATTTCACCACAGCATATCCAACACAGTGCCTGCATACAATAAGTACTACTAATTACTGTGTTAATTAATAGTTTTATACAAAGTTAACTGTTACTATGTTTGTTTTTGTTTTTTGAGACAGGGTCTTACTATGTAATCCAGGTTGGCCTCAAACTCAACAATCCTCCTGCCTCAACCTCTTGAGTGCAGGGATTATAGGCATGTGTCACCATGCCTGGCTAATTAAAAACAAATTCTCATGTTGCATGTTTTATAGGTTCTCGGAAAAAAAATTAGTGAAATTCAAAAGGACAGTCCACTGTTAAAAAAAAAAAATCAACACATTCCTACCTTGGAGGCAATGTAACAGTCAAAAGAACAAGGGCTTTCTAATTGACAAACCTGAATGAAATACACAATGACTCCTCTGCTGTCCTACCTTGAGCTTCACTGAAGTCTCTCTGATCTTCAATAACTATATATAGAATGTTCTTGCTTGGTACATAGAAAGTGCCTTATTTTCCATTTACAGAAAGACTGAGAAGAGGTAACTACAAGTCTAAGAGAGAAACCTCCAACAAGTAACCTATTTGCTACGTTGGGAATAGATGGCCTGACAGCCCAAGATTAAAACTTGACAGTCATACAGTAAATGTTTTTTTTTCTTGTAGATTCATGCTATATATTTTGCAAGATGAACAGTGAGTGAACTCTAACAGTAGTCCAACACGTCATATTGGTGAAAAGCACATCAAGGTTACCAAAAAGATGTAACGCCAGAGTATCACCTAGAGGTATGTTTCGTAACCAATGGCAGTCATGAGAAGGTAATGGGAGAGAATCTCTATAAAGTAGGCACTTGGACTCTCAGCCTTCATAATTCTGTTGTTATGTTTGGCATACAGTATATCTCACTATGGTTTTATTTGTCATTTGCCTGAATAACAAGGATGTTTAGCGTCTTTATATGATTTCAAATATTTATCTTCTGTTCTGAAAGACCTATTAAAATATTTTGTGTGGATGTGCATATTTTACTTTTCTTTCTTTTTTTAGGTAATTCTCATACATGAAATTTATCCACTTGAAGTGTAAAATTCAATGGTTTTTAGTTTATTCAGAGTTCTGCAATCATCAAAATCAACTTCTGAACATTTTCATCACACACCACACTTCAGAAATTCTCATTTTCTACCTTTTTGTTAGCAGCTTGTGCTTTTGACATCATATCAAAGAATTCAAAACTGATCTCACAAAATTTTATTCCAATCTTTTCTTCTAAGACTTTGATAGTTTCAGCTCTGACCTTTAGTCTAATCCATTTTGAGTTAATTTTTGTTTATTGTGAAGTACGATATATTTTGCATGTAGCTATTCAGTTGTCAGCACTGCTGGTTGAAAAGCCTGTGCCTGTTCTTTCTTCATTGTCACTTTTGTTAAAAAAAAAAAAAAAAAAAGTTTATGGTAGATGTGAGGATTTCTGTATTCTTAATTCCATTCCACTGATCCATACTGATTTCTAAGTTATTCTCTCACCAGTGTCACATTTCATTAGTATAGCTTTGCAGCACATTTTGAAATCAGGAAGTGTGAATCTTTATTCTTCCTCTTCAAACTGTTTTAGTTACTTTAGACCTTTGATCTTTCCATATGAAATTTAGGGTCACCTTGTAAATTTCTACACAAATACAACTTGAACTTTTGAGAAAGGCTGTATTAAAGCTACAAATTAGGGATTACTGTCATACTAAAAATACTGAGTTTTTCAATCCATAAAGATAGGATGTCTTTCCATTTATTTAAATTTTTTATTCTTTCAATGTTTTTATACTTCTTTTGTTTTTTATTCTAAAGACAATGAATTGTTTTCTTACATTTTGGGTGGGGGGACCAGGGATTGAACTCAGGACCTTGCCCTTATGAGGCAGGCGCAGTGCCACTGAGCTAAATCCCTGGTTCTTTTAATTTCATTTTAGATTATTCACTGAAATTGCATAGAAATTTAATTGACTCAGTATGTGGACCTTATATCTTGCACCCTTGGTGACTGTTTACTTTAGTAGTATTTTTTAAATGAAGTTTCTATATTTACAAAATTGTGTCATCTTAGATATTTTTTCTTCTTCCTTTCCAGTTGAAGGCCTTTTGTGACTTTTTCTTACCTGCCATGTTGAATAGAGTAGTAAAGCTGACATGGTTATTACTGATTGTAACTAGATTTGTCTGTCATTTTACTTTTCTACATGAGTTATTTGCTTAGTGGTTGTTCTACAACTTACTATAATGTTAACTTAGAAACAACACATGATTCATACTAACTTAATTCCACTTATAGGAAAATTACTCCTCTATAGCTTTATCCCCTCACTTTTTGTGCTATTAATGTTAGACAGAGCACAACGTATACAGTTGACACTCTGCATCTATGGTTCCAAATCCATGGATTTAACTGAAAGCAGACTGAAAATATCCTGGAGGGAAAACTGTGTCCATATTGAATATGTAGAAATATTTTTTTTCTTGGTATTATTCCTTAAACAATACTATACAACAACTATTATTTACATAGCATCTACATTGCATTAGATTGTAAGTAATCTAGAGATAATTTAAATTATACAGTAGGATGTGTATACATTATATGTAAATACTATAATAGGGCAGCTCCTTTGGGGAATATTCTTGGCAAAGTTAGTTTAATCTCCCTTCCTTTGCCCTTTTGCAAGGCTGTCATCTTCCCTAGTTTTTTCAAAGGATTATGTTTTCCTCCCCTTGGCCCCCAATTCTAAATTACAATGTTAACTGTTAAATAATCTTTTTTTTTTTTTTAGATTTACAGAATCCAAAAATCTGGTAATCTTTAAATTG